CCCATCAGTCAGCAGAGAGAGATTGAGGACATGCACTGCGCTGATTTGGCCGATTTGGCCTCGTTAGCAGAACCAAAACCTGTTTCCTCACGGAACAACCTCCACAGAGCCAGGGGTTAGCATTCCAACACATATTTTGGAAACAAAATTCATCCACAACAAACTAAGTGTGGAGAAATCGGAACACAAGTCTGGGTCTTTGTAGTTCACAGAAATCACTATAGAAAAGGAACTTGAAAGGGGGGAGGGTCAAAGATAGCTGCCTCCGAGCAGCGCTGATCTTTGGGTCAAAGAGACAGAAGAGAAGAGGTGGACCCTCTCTACAGAACAGGGACAGGAAAGAAACCGTAAGAAATGAAAACTAAGGGTGCTACGAAAACAAAAGAGAAGGAAACGCCCATTCTTGCTCCTCCTCTCTAGCCACATCACACATCTTCACTTTAAAGAAACTGCACTTCAACCCACTGAAGGAAGAACTGAAACAAATAAAAAATCACTGCCATCAAGTCAGTTCTGACTCACAGCAACCCTGGGGGTTTCCAAGACTATAAGTCTTCATGGGAGCAGACAGCCTCATCTTTCTCCCTTTGAGTGGCTGGTGGGCTTGAAGGACTGACCTTGTGATTAGCAACCCAACTCGTAACCCACTCCACTATCAGAGCTCCTACTGGAAGAAGAGGGTACAAACGTGCTTGATACAATGGATGGATGGTGATAATTGTACAAGCCCCAATAAAACGATTTTTAAAAGAAAAGGAAAAAAAAAACAATACCAAGGGCTCAAGTAGAAAGTGTTTTGGGAAGGATGATGGCAATGTATATATAAATATGCTTGATACAAGACAGTGTAAGATATGACAAAATAATAATAATTTATAAATTATCAAGGGTTCATGAGGGAGGAGGGAGTGGGGAGGGAGGGGAAAAAATGAGCTGATACCACTTTTCTGCTGTCCATCTCCCAGGGAGGAGGTTATATTTAGATCCTTGTAACCGGTTCCCCCTTTCTACCCCACCCTCCCTCCCTCCACCCTCCCAGTATCGCCACTCTCACCACTGGTCCTGAAGGGATCATCTGTCCTGGATTCCCTGTGTTTCCAGTTCCTATCTGTACCAGTGCACATGCTCTGGTCTAGCTGGATTTGTAAGGTATAATTGGGATCATGATAGTTGGGGGGTGGGGGCGGGGGGGCGCGAAGCATTTAGAAACTAGATGAGTCTCCTCCCCGCGACCCTTCTATAACTTGGAAGCAATTTATTTATAGTTTTGTGGTTTGGTTTTTAAATATATAAGAAAACTTATCTTCCAGTTAGTTTCTAATCTTGTAAATTGGAAAAGATGACAATTTATTGGTTAAATTTTAGCTTAGGACTTTAACAGGATAGAAATGAAAAATGAGTATTGTGAAAATATAATTGTGGACACCTTTACATGTCTTTGGTCTACTGGCACACGTATTTTATTGGGAATATCCCTAGAAATTGGATTCCTTGGTCACAAAAGAGAATACATAAATTTATATTCCCACTGGCAGCATATTAAAGTATTAGCTACTCCAAATCCTTGACATAGAATTCTAACTTTCACATGCATAAGAAGCGATTAAAAATGGCCTGGTTTCAGCCAGGCACATCTTCGTCCTCCAAGCGACATCCTTGCTATTCAATACTTTAAAGTCTTGTCCAGTAGACTTGCCCAATGTAATGTGTCCTTTGATTTCTGGTCTGCTGCTTCCATGAGCATTGAGCTTGGTTCCAACCAAGATGAGATCCTTGACAACTTCAGCTTTTTCTCCATTTAGTATCATAGTATCTATTGGCCTGATGTGAGGATGCTTGTTTTCCTTACACCGAGTTGTGATCCAGACTGGAGGCTGCCGTCTGTACCTTCATCGGCGAGTGCCTCCAGTCCTCTTCAGTTGCAGCAATCAAGATTGGGTCCTCTGCCCATTGCAAGTTGTTAATAAGCCTTCCTCCAGTCCGAATGCCCCGTTCTTCTTCATGTAGACTAAGTGCCTGATCATTTGCTCAGCATACAGACTGAATCAGTAGGACGAAGTAACACAGCAGTGATGCACACTTTCCCAGAATTCTAAACTAAGCAGCACTCCCTTGTTCTGACCCGATGACTGGTCGTTTACAGCTTTCATCTGCGTTCAGTGGGGTGCTCTGGAATTCCTGTTTTCTCAAGGTTGCTCCTGAAACCTTTTTTTTGGCTAATGTCTTCAGTGCAGCTTGGACTTTTTTCTTCAGTACCATTGGTTCTTGACCATATGCTACCTCTTGAAATGGCTAAATATCAATTCATTCTTTAGAGTCCAGTGACTGTGTGTCATTCCATATTTTGCCAATCTTTCAATACTGCAACCTACGGCTTGATTTTTTTCTTTATTTCTTTTAGCTTAAGAGATGCTGAGCGTGCCCTTCCTTTCTAGTTTTCTAACTCCAGGGCTTTGCACATTTTGTCATTTCACTTTGTCTTCCAGAGCTGCCCTTTGACATTTTCTGCTCGTTCTTTGACTTCTCCCTTTCTTCCGTTTGCTTTAGGTGCTCTATGATTAAGAGCAAGCTTCAGATTCCCTTCTGACATCCATGCTGATCTCTCTTTTTCCTGTCTTTTTGATGACCTTTTTCACGTTCATGCATAATGTCCTTGGTGTCTTCCCACACCTCGTCAGATCGTCTGTCATTCGTGCTCCTGAGATGGTCTCGAAGTTCAGGTGGGATAGCGTCAAGGGTGCATTTTGGCTCTCTCATAGGCTGATTTTCATTTTCTTCAACTTCAGTCTGAACTGATATAAGAGCAACTGAGGGTCTGTGTTCTAGAGTTGGCCCCTGGCCTGGTTTGGCTGCTGATGCCGAACATCTCCATTGTCTATTCACACAGATACAGCCTCCATCATCTCTTCCCAGAGATATAGTCTGTTTGATTCCTGCATATGACATCTAGTGGGATTCATGTGTACAGGGACCATTTATGTTGTTGAAGAAACATATTTACAATGAAGAAGTCATTGGTCTTGCAAAACTCAAGCTTTGTTTCTATCTCAAAGGCCATATTTTCCAATTACTGTTCCTTCCTCTGTTTCCAACTTTATATTACAGTCTCTAATCATAATCAATGCATCTTGATTGCATGTTTGATACTTTCAATGGAAGAAATTGGTATGATTCTTCAGTTCCTTGGTCTCTAGCTTTAGTGGCTGGTGGATAAACAACAGTTGTATGGCCTAGACTTCCAAAAGCTTTTCTCCATTTGGGTCATTATGGTTGACTCGACTCTGAGACTCTACTCAGTTGTATTTTCAGTGCCTTTGACTTGAGAAGTTCTTCTGGCACCATATCTGAAATATCCCACGACTATTCACATTTTCCAGTGGTTAATCACTCAGAGGTAGATAACCTGTCCCTTCTTTACAGTCTATTCTTCATCTGGAAGCTGTGCTGAAACCTGTTCGCTTTGCATGACCCTGCTGATATTTGAAATAATGCTGACATAGCTTCCAGCATCACAGCAACACATAAGCCAACACGATACTATGACTCACTGACAGACCAGCAGGTCCTATGATAGCTAACAACTTCTGACAGCAGCTTGTATGTAGTATTTTCCAATCACTCAAGGCCCACCGAGAATGCAAAGTCTCCTAACAATCCTCTAACAGCTTCAACAGGAGGAGTTACAACTTGATTCCCATCTAGGTCTCCATCTTCTGGTGGTACCACTGAATATGAACGCGGGAGTTTCCCCGCATTATCGACTTTAAATAAGAACTGAGGCCAATGATTAACTTTGTAGGCAGGATGCAAACTTAGTCCAGCAGCTTCATTCTGTAAGGACCTCAGAATGAAAACGAAGGTCACTCGAGTTTCTGAAGCCAGTCCTTCATCCCTAGGACATCCCAGTCATGGGGATGATTCTGGTATCAGTTCAGTGATGGACTCTGGGATTTGCACTGTGCTCAGGAATCCCAGACGAGCCCTGCTGGCACAGCGGCTGCTAACCACCAAGTCAGCAGTCGGACACGTCCAGCTGCTCTGCAGGGGAAAGATGAAGCCGTCTACTCCCTTAAAGAGTTCCAGTCTTACAAACTCACAGGGACAGTTTTACCCTGTCCTGGAGGGTTGCTGTGAGTCTGAATCGACTCGCTGGCAGTGAGTTTGGGTTTTGGTTCCCAAGGTAGCCTGTGGGTTAGTTATTGGGCTGCTCATCTCAAGATGGGCAAACACTACTGGAGTAACGATGAGGCTGCCTCCTCCCATAAGGATTTACAGTATCGGAAACCCTGTGTGTGGTCACTATTTGTGGGAATTGATACGATGGCAATTACTTCACCTCCTCATTGTCCTATAGTCCACGCCAATTCAGAGTGACTCTACAGACCAGGGTACACCTGCGTCTTAAGGTCTCTGACACCGTACATCGTTACTGGGAAGAACAGCGTCATCTTTCGCCCACGGGTTGGTGCAGCTCATGGGTTGGAACCACCACAAGGGCGATTAGCAGCCCAAGGCTTCACTCGATCGGTCATCAATAGCTTTTCTTACGGAAACACTTTACAAGAGGTCCTCCCCTGATCACTGCTAGTGGGGAAAGATGAGGCAGTCGGTTTCCTTAAAGATTTAATACAAAAAACCCAAAAAAAACCAAACCCCCCGCCCCAAACCTCACTGCCATTGATTCAATGGCGACCCATGGTAACCGTACAGGACAAAGTAGAAGTGCCCATGTGGAGTTGTAAGTCTTTCTGGGAGTAGACAACCTATCTTTCTTGGAGCGGCTGGTGGTTTTGAAATGCTGGTCTTGCAGTGAGCAGCCCAACATCACCAGGGATCCCAAAGCTTAGACGGAGCCTCGGAAATCCTACGGGGGCAGTTCTACAGGGTCCTCCAGTGTGGCTACGAGTCAGACGTGCAATGGGCTTTAAGCACTTTCCATCGCATTTCTTTTAGTTCCTCCAGTCGCCCTGATACTCGTCAATAGGAACTAATGATTGCCCGTTATACAATAAACCGACAAAAAGCAAGTGATTGCCCAACGCCCCACAAGTAAGCTCTTCCTCTGGCTTCCGATTTAGGGCGGTTTCTCCCCCTCCAAAGAGCTCTAGTTTAATGAATTTGACCTTGAACTTCTAAACGGCAAGGCCAGAGGTTGGAAGCCACCAACTGCTCCACGGGTCAACGACGAGGCTGTCTACTCCCGAAAAGAGTCAACAGTCTCAGAAACGCCACAGGGCAGTTTCATTCTGCCCGGCCCAGGCGTTATGAGTCAAAATTCACGGCCGTAAGCGGCTCGCTCTCCCTCTCAGCTACACCTGTGGGACCCCTCTGGCTCCTTTCTCGTAAGGAGCGCACTGTTAGTGCCACACAGCCTTCCAGGTGGCCGGGGGAAGGCGTCCCCGCCGCCCTCTCCCCCGCTCCTCGCTCACGTTCAGCAGACGGTGCCCGGTGCCGCTCTTGTCCTTGCCCTTGTCCTTCTGCTTGTTCTTGCCCTTCTCCTTCTGTGCCAGCTTGATCTGGCTCTGGGAGGTACGGTCTAACAGGTCCCATCCTTTGTTCTGCGCAGATTCCGGGGTGACAAGGAGGTTCTTCTGGAATATAGTGGTTTCCTGTGGGGAATGGAGCAGCGCTTCGTACTGCGCGTCTTCGGACAGCTCCATCCCTCCATGCACCGTCTGGGCTGTCTGTGCTAACCGACAGCTGGGGGCCGCGCAGGCGCAGACAGGCGCAGGCGCAGGCGCCGCCCTCTTTCCTAGCAGCCCCACCCCCCGCACCGTGCTCCTGCTCCGCACCTCCGGGAGCCGCGAGCCCCGCAAGAAACTGCGGCCAGGCCAGGCCTCAAACAACCCAAAAAAGCAAACCCAAACCACTTTGTATTGTCAATTGGATTACGTTTTACAGAGTAGATCATCCGTTTCCCTTCAACGACTCACACGTGTGGTTTCATCTCGCTGACTGCAGTAT